TTCAGTTCCAAGAATTCACTAACCAGACATGTTGTTGAATTCCAGGAGCTGAAGTCAAAACATCTTAAAGTTGCCAAGGTTGAAAAACATTGGGGTAGGAAGAAACACTGATAGGTTTCAAGATTCTGTTATACTATTTTACTACAAGAAAGAGCAACCCTGGAATTTTGAACATGCCTTCTTAAAAAATTAGACTTAACTCAAAGAGCTGCTAGTTTTGTAACTTTAATGCAACATAATGTATAGTGGCATTTACAATGTGAAGATAGTAAGTGTGGTCTGTCTGTCAGAACTGAACTTTCCAAGTTGTTAAGTGAATCCTGTTTTTTCCATTGTGTTTGCTTGTTGGAAGCCAGCTGGGAAAGTCACAAATGGCAATCACATGACCCTGGGATGCTGCAACTGTCATAAATACATGCTGGTTGTCAAATGCCTGGATTTTGATCATATGACTGGTCATAAATATGAGGGCCAGTCATAAGTCACTCTTTTCAGTGATCTTGTAACTTTGAACAATCATTAACTGAATGGTTTTAAGTCAAGGACTATCTGTACTTAAAACATACAAAAATAAATAGGTTGTGTATTACCCAGAATACTGGTGGGTCCAGGTTTTCTTCCCTCCATATCTTTCATGGCCTCTACATAGCATCTTGCCAGCTCCTGGAACAAGGGTTCCCCAGTCTTCCCTATGCAAAAAAGATGGGAAACACAAGAGAACAATTTTTATTTTCAAATCTGAGATTACAATCTACTTTGCTCTTGTCCTTCTTTTGATTCAGTTTATCTCCAATAGAAACTTACTCAAAACTCCTATATGCAGGGATCTTCTGAAGGATCCCTTTTCCTCTAATATTTTTCTTGCTGACTATGCTGATTGTAGAGATAAAACTTGTCCGGCAACCAAGCTTTACTGCATCCAATTAGGAAAGGTTGTTGAGAAAAACATTTGTGTTACCACTGCTAAGAATATGAGCCTTCATACCTCAACACCATCTTGAATCACCCACCTCAAGAATGTGAGTATCCAAAAATGATGTGAGCTACCCAGAGACACAAATGTTGAGAGACAGATATACAAAATTGAATAAAGAACTAAAAAAATGAAATCATTCTATAATCCCAAAATCTAAATTCAGAAGGCTTGTAGCACTAGTTGCAAGCCAGCATCCTAGAAATGTCTGTTTATGTCCTATAATCCAGGTAGCTACTGTTCCTATTGATTTCATGACTGTTTTGACTAATTGGTAACAGAACAGGAGTAGTCTGCCACTATTATCTTTGACTTCCAGTCATCTAGGTCAGTGGTCACCAACTTTTGCAGCTTGGCAGCCCAGCTGGGGGGGAGGGGAAGTGGGCTGTGTGAATGGTGGGCTGGCATGCACATGCGCCCAGCTTGACTTGCATGAGCATACATGCATGCACACACAGGATGACTGCAAGTCGAGCTGCATGCATGCACCTGTGTTTGCTGGCCTACTGCCTGTTTGCAAATAGGCCACAGCCCAGCAGTGGGCTGCGGCCTGAGAGTTGGGGACCCTGATTTAGTCAGTAGTTCTCAACCTCAGCAATTTTTAAAAGGGTGAACTTCAACTCCCAGAATTCCCCTGCTGGCTGGGGAAATCTGGGAATTGAAGTCCAACAATGTCAAAGTAGCTGAGGTTAAGAAACACTAATCTAAGCTATAACCCTAGTATTTCCTGCTATTTGCCTAGCTGAGTACTAACGAGCTTGAATACTGCTTAATTTTTATAACATCAGGCAAGAATTTAAAATGGTGACCTATTGCCATTGCTGGTTAAAAAGCTGGAGTTGCTACTATTGGATAAGTCCTGCAGGGCCCTCTAAGATAGGAGACAGATGCACCTGGTAACATTTTACCAAGACTATTTAATAAATTGAATAAACCACCAACTCCTATAAAGCACCACATGAGAGAAGTATTATTTGGGGACGGGAACCAAAATTTGCAAAACAAGACCACAAGGCTTCTCATTGCTTCCAACTGCTCACCTGTGGCAAGGGCCTCAGCAGTTGCCAGGTGCAGCACAGTGTCATCGCTGACTGGCCAATCTGGAAGGGCTACACGGATCTTGCCAAGTCCCCCCATTTCCTGCAGCTCTTGGTGAATCTGGGGCCCCGAAGTACAGTATTCCCAGCGCTGGTTGCGATATCCAAGGGCATCACCAACTCCAGAGAGCACCATGGCTGCATGATAGTGTTCTTGGGAGGGAGTACGGTAGCTACAGGGGAAAAAAAAATTACAAAAGGCAGCACCCCTACCCTGTGTAAAACCTTCCCATGCATGTATTGCAAAATATTGAAATGTATTAAAAATATCCTTCTGAAACCTGCAATTTGTATTAATTCCTAGGATCTGTTTGCTGAAGTTGCATACCCCATCCTGTTTCCCCAACTAAACTGGCCAGTCCTTAGGAAGGGGCACATTTAGTAGAATTAGTATTTTGAAACCAGCATGTCATGAAATAAGATTGCACCAGGGTTAACCTGAAATTCACACACACAAACTAAAAATTATAATTTGCATTAAAAGGATTCTATGTTGTCATCAGACTGATATTTTATTAGCAGTCACACATCACAGTAATAAAAATAGAAAAGTTATACAAGGAGGCTTAGACATGAATTGAAAGTGTGCTATTTCTCTGAGGAATATAGGTAGTTTTGACATATATCACCACAATTGGGACCAGAATTTCCATTGCCAAGCAAGGCAGTTGCTAAACGAATTGAATCCAATTTTATTTTTGTCATAGTTCAGTGAATTTACTGAACTTGTTATGTGAATCACATGATCGTTAAGCAAATCTGGCCATTGACTTGCTTGGGGAAAGCCAGCAGGAAAGGTCACAAATTGTGATCACATGACCTCAGGATGCTGCAATCGTTGTCAATACACACCAGTTGCCAAAAATCCAAATTTTGATCAGGTGATTGTAGGATTGCTGTGAAAGTTATAAGTGCAAAGGCTGGTTGTAAGTCATCCTTTTCACTACCATTGTAAATTTGAACAGCCACTAAACAAATGGCTCTAAGTTGAGGGATACCTGAAGTAACTTTCCAGTATGAATCTAACTAGCTAATTTTATGGTTGATCTCTGAAAGCTGCATAAAAACACCCTCCAAATCAAGATCCTGTAACAGCAAAACCACATTGTGGTATTTCTGCCAAAGGGTGCATTCCATCAAACAACCAGCAGACAAGCTCAATTTAAGGAGGATTTTTGGAGTAAGTTTGAAATCTGGAAAGTTTGCAGCTGCGATTTTTATGGAAACTCACAGAAAGAGAAAGACCACTGAAAAGCGTGGGATTAAAAAGGAGCTCCATTCGACTGGCGTACAGCGCCGCTTTCCAAGGCCTAATGTGGCTATTATTGAGATGCCGCTGTATTACATCTATTACGGTAGCGAGTTCCCTAAAAGCAAGAATGCTACCCGCTGCAGAAAGCTGGTGATACTCCTGCGGTCTGAGAGCCGCGATAGTTTAGCTTAGCCGTCAGCGGATTCTCACGCCCTTTCTCCCTAACACACCCGAAAGAACCGCGTTGCAAAAAAGGTAAGGAAACGCAAGGAGAGGAACCAGGTGAGAAGGTAAAAAGGAGGATCTGGAGGACGACGTGCTCTTAAATCAACTGCCCTGCAGATGACTAAGAAAGCCACAGCAATCGAATACACTTGCATGCTTGTAGAATTCTTTATTGGCCAAGTGTGATTGGACACGCAAGGAATTTGTCTCCAGTGCATAAGCTCTCAGTATACATACAAGCAACAAGTGATAAATCATGATTACAATCATAAACACTACCGTCATAAATCATAAGATGCAACAGTGATTGTCATAGGATACTAAATAAGCAATTAACATGAATCTGATTATTGATTAACGGTTAATTGATTATTAATAGGCGAAGTAGAGTGGGTGCGAGCAACCGCTTACGATCCATCCATGACTGCGGGGAGGGGCGGGGCACTGCTCCGTCTTCGTCTGTCCAACTTTGAAAAACCACTCGCCACACGACGGGCTGCTCGTCCAATGAGAGGACTTTAAACGGAAAGAGGCTACAAATCCTCTCCCCCCCCCCCCCCCCCCCCCCAACCATGTCGGGCCTGCCCGACCCCCTCCCGCCCTCTGGCAGCGCTTTGCTGAGATTTCAAGTCGCTGCCCGGAAGGTTTTCCGTTTATAACTCCATTGATTTTCGCATTATGTAAAATGGACGTACGGAGAAGTGGCTCAGGGGGTCGGTTTCCTATCAGATCTCTAGGGATTTCTAGATTCCGCAGGCTGTTTGCAGAGGAGAGGCTAAATCAAACTCAGCAGCTTTAAAGTACAGAATAGAATGGAACGGAACAGAACAGAATAGAATTCTTTATTGGCCAAGTGTGATTGGAGACACAAGGAATTTGTCTTCGTGCAAATGCTCTCAGTAGTCCTCGACTTACCAACAGTTCATTTAGGAACCATTCAAAGTTACAATGGCAATGGAAAGAGTGACTTATGACCATTTTTCACACTTGCAACCATTGTAGTTACAGGATCAAAATCTGGATGTGTGGCAACTAACTCATATTTATGACGGTTGCAGTGCCCCAGGATCATGTGGTTTGCCTTTTGAGGCCTTCCGACAAGCAAAGTCAGAAGCCAGATTCACTTAACAGTGTTACTAATTTAACCACTGCACTCAACAACTGTGGCAAGAAAGGTGGTAAGGGGGGAGGGCAAAACTCACTTAACAAACCTCTCTGTTAGCAACAGAAATTTTGGGCTCAATTGTGGCCGTAAGTCGAGGACTACATGTGGATTTCAGCTTCCAGAATTCTCCAACCAGCATGCTGGCTGGGGAATTCTGGGAGTTGAAGTCCACACAACTAAAAGTGGCTGAGGTTGAGGTATACTGGTTTTAAATCGCCAGGAAGGAGGGGGGCCGTGTTTAGATTGTGCTTCATAGAACTGCAGAGTGCAGAGATAATTTGGTAGAATTGTGGGAGAATTCTTTTCAATGCAGATAGTTTTCTATCGCTAGAGCTTTGCCTCCTCCTGATCAGGAGTTTGGGATCTTTTTTTTTGTAATTAATAGGTCTTGTGGCCTGAAAATGTTTGAAAATTCCTAGTCTAGATTGCTCATCCCTCTTCATTGTGAGTATGTATTGGGGAGGAAAAATGAATAATCTTAATTTATGGTGTGCCAGCTCCTTTTCTGTATATGACATTCAGTATCTGGATTCCAGTTGATTATACATACACAAAGTAAAGCCAGGTAGTGTACTTGAAGCAAAGGCTACTCAATAAAAACCTTAATCCTGGCACACCAGTGTTTCTCCACCTTGGCAATTTTGAGATGTCTGGACTTCAACTCCCAGAATTTTCTATTCAACATGATGGCTAGGGAATTCTGGGAGTTGGTCCACATAGCAACTTGAGAAACATTGGGCTACTACTAGATCATAAGTACATAAAATGTGCGGGGGGGGGGGAATAATGGTCAACCACTGCATTGCTTCAAGGGAGAATTTCATTTCCACCGTTCTCAACTGCCTTTTGGTTGGTTGGGTTTCAAAGGACATTCTCTGCTCCTAATGTTAGCCAGATCTCCAGCATGGGTTTCTGCAGAATGCTTGCTATTGGCTGCCATAGAAACAGGGAGGGGAGCATAGGCATTTGGGATGGGGAAGCGAGCTGATCTGCAATAATCCCATGAGATCAGGAAGGGAGGTTTGTACTTACGAATTATGGTGCTGCTGAGTTTTTTATACTCTGTCAAGGCCAACCATCCTGAGACTCAAGATGTGAAAAATATCTGAAAAGCTTTTCCATAACATCATACAGGATGTTGATTGGACTCTCAGCTCTGGACCCTGGGGAGAGGTATTTGGGGTGACTTTCAGCATGTAACCTTCGTGCATTTTGAATCAGATCTTGCCTTGCTTTCGCTATGTCAAATTTAGTAAAAAATACCTCTTCTCTAATTCAGTGGAGCTGGGGTTTTCTTTCTTGAGTTTTGAATGGAGGCAGGCCTAACACCTAGTCTAATCACTCTATGCTTAACAGAGTTCCACTGGAAACAGTACATTAAGCCATAATACGTTTTGCATGTTGCCCAAACCCAGCCATTGTGAATTGCAAATCATAATTTATTGTTTAGCAACCCAGCCAGTTATAAAATATGGTATCCAGTCACAGAAAGAATTGGCTGGTTCCAAACTCCACCCATTTGGCCAGCCTGTTTAACAATGGTTTATTGAACCAGTCTAAATGGCACATTTCACTTAATGCTTGAACTTAAAAAGTTCTAGACTTTGTTTCGACAAAGTGTGTTGACTTATCTGAGCTTAGAGTAAACACTGTTAAGATTTACAGTAAAGGGGTTGGATACAATTTTGTAGGAAGCTTCTTCTACCTTAGCACATAATTCTTTTTCAGTCTTTAATGCCACCATTGTTCATAATCTGTTGTCTTTAGAATGTTAGCATTATTTGTTTCCCATCTAAGAATTCTGTCCTGAAATTTGAGGTATAATAGGAAAAAAAGGCTTGCTCTCTGACAAGAGATCATTTACCTCTTCTACTGAGCAACAGCAGTGTTTCACCATTTGATGCCTTATAAATGCTTTGGGCTGCATTTGCTATATTGGACCTGCTAGTATCACAATAAAAAGAGTTGTAGCCCCAAACATCCAGGATACAGCCTCAGTATAATGCAAATTATGTTTTCTGCCTTATGAATTGTTGCATCAAGTGTTAAAAGGACAATTGGTGGGCAGCGCCCCATATTCATCCCCTCCTGCCCGATATTCAGGGAAACCACCTGCTTCGAATACAGTCAACTTGTTTCTCCCATCAGATCCCCGAGAACTCCTGTTATAAGGGCGCTACTTCATTCTCTCTATACAGAGGTCTCCAAACTTGGCAACTTTAAGACTTGTGGACTTCAACCCCCACGCATGGCTGGCTGAGGAATTCTGGGAGTTGAAGTCCACAGGTTTTAAAAGTTGCCAAAGAGAAACTGATCCACCCAGGCTCTACACCAATGTTTCTCAATCTTAGCAACTTTAAGATGTTAAACTGAGAACTCCTCAGCCAGCATATTGGCATGCAAATACTTTCATCATATCCAACGTGCATAATTTATCTACATAATTTAACCATGGGGGGGAAAATAACCTGGCTTAATAGTATCCTTTTGAAGTTACATTACCACTGAAAAAATGATGACCCAGTCCTCACACTTACAGTATGTCTGTCACAGCTTCCCCATGGTCAGCTGATCAAAATTCGGATGCTTGGCAATCAGTATTTACAACGCTTGGAACATCTGGGGTCATGTGGTCACGATTTGTGACTTCCCAGCTGGTTTTCAACAAGTCAATGGGGGGGGGGGGAGACTGGATTCACTTAACAACTGCATGGTTCACTTAACAACTGCAGGGATTCATTGTGGTAAAAAAGATAATAACATTGGCATGATTCCTTTAATAACCGCCTTAGCAACAGAACTTCTAGTCCCAATTATGGTTGTAAGTTAATGATTTACTCTCCTGATGTGTGCAAACGTTGTGAGACCGTTTTTAAAAAGCACGGCTATGCACATTCTGAATCCTAGTTTGGACTCCAGTCTGGATTTCTGTACAGCTAATGATTTGTCAGCTACTGAAATCCTGTCACAGAACTATAATGGCTGCAAGTTTCCCTTTAATGGAATGGAGACAGGCAGAGGAATTGAAGCGTTGAATCCAGTCTAAGTATGAGGAGGTGTAAAAATAGTTAGGGCAAGGGCTGTTGGGAAACAGCATTAGAACATTTTGTGGGAATCTGCTTGGCAAGCTCCCGGAGGTTTGCTCCAAGTTGTTTCAAACACTTTTGACATTTGATCTAATTTGTTTAGGACACTTGAAAAGCCAAGGCATTGGGGGCGGGGGGTGGGGGGGGAGGTGAAAATAAATGTTCTGAATTATTGTTTGTTGAATGCTATGGAACACTCAAGAATTAATGCGGAGTGTTAAGACTAGAGATCTACTTATTTATTACATTTTTATGCCTCCCATCTCACTATCGAGTTATTTAAAGGTAAGAGAAAATAGGAGCCACTTCTGCATTCCATCTTGAAAGGCCAAATGTCAAATCAGTGCTTACTAAGTAAGGATTGGCAAATCTACTGTCCCTCCTCTGGATCGTGCTGAGCTGGTTAATCTGGAGAGCCGCTGGTGGGTTTCCAAAAATAATATATTGGTCACAAAACAGCTTGATTGGTTACCAGAGATAGGTCCAGAGAAGGAACAGGGCTTTCCAGAATCGACTGGAGTATTCTGTTCCTTAAATACAGGAAGTCCTTGACTTATGACTACAATTGAGCCCAAAATTTCTGTTGCTTAGTGAGACAATTTTTAAGTAAGTTTTGCCCCATTGTATGACCTTTCTTGCCACAATTATTAAGTGAATCACTACAGTTGTTAAGTTAGTAAAATGGTTGTTCAGTGAATTTGGCTTCCCCTTTGATTTTGGGGAAGGTCGCAAAATGAATGAATGAATGAATGAATGAATGGGAATAACACGACCGCAGGACACTGCAACAGTCATAAATATGAGTCAGTTGCCAAACATCTGAATTTTGATCACATACCTTTAAATAAAATCACTCGATAGTCATAAGTATGAAACAGAGTTCTCCCCATAGAGCTATCATTGGTCCCAGAGTAATAAAAACCCTAACCCAGGAATTCAGGAATTGCTAATGCCCTCCTCCCCTTGTTTGTATTCTTTTCCCCCCTCTCTTTTACAGGATAGAAATATAATACTTTTGGTTCTACCAAGAAATAATACTGAAGAATAACTTTAGTCATTACAGGATTAGGGGAAAGAGGCTTTTTAAAATATAAAGCACAGCACTCCTCGTTCCCTCCTTCCCCTGGTTTCCAGCTTTCTGACCAAGAATATGCAAGCTCACTTCCCTGATGTACAATACAAGTAGTCCTTGACTTACAACCGTTACTTTGGTGACCATTGGAAGTTATATCACTGAAAAAAGTGACTTACGACCATTTTTCACATTTTTAACCACTGCAGCATCTCCATGGTCACATGATCAAAATTCAAATGCTTGGCAACTGATATATATTTATGATGGTTGCAGTGTCCCTGGGTCATGTGATCACCTTTTGTGACCTTCAGGTGAGCAAAGTCAATGGGGAAGCTGGATTCACTTAATAACCATGTTACTAACTTAATAGTTGTAGTGATTCATTTAATAACTGCGGCAAGAAAGGTTGTAAAATGGGGCAAAACTCACAAAAACTGTCTGCCTTAGCGGCAGGAATTTTGGGCTCAGCTGAAGCCATAAGTTGAGGACTTCTTATATAGTTTTGGCAAATAGGTGACATAGCACCTGTGAATGCTGGAGTTTTCCACATCAACCTGTGAAAATGGAGAGGGATGCATTTTGCATTTTCGTTCCCCAGTTCTTCCTAGATCAGCCTGATCTCTTTTCTCTATGTGGTTGCCATATCATCTTCAACTCCACCAACTGGTTTGAAGCTAAGAAACTGCTAAAGGTCCACATACAGAAAATGTGCATTTCAATTGAGTGTCATCTCCAGCTGCAGTTTCCATCTAGGAAAGACAGTTTATCAAGTGGCCAAGAAACATAAAGCAAACGAATGAGACGGCTGTTAAGCCCTCTATGGAGTTTTAGAAGTGAGGAACAAAATCAAGAGGTCTCTGGTGCTGTTTTCCTGAAACAAATGGCATTGAGAGGAGAACCACTGCCTGTTTTTGTATCTCACAGCTCACACTAACCCAGAAGTGGGGAATGATGGCCACTTTTATGATTTGTGGACTTCAATTCCCAAAATATCTGAGCCAGCTCATTCCCCCCTTCTGCTCTAACCCTTTTCATTAGTCAAACAAGCCAGGGACTTAAGGGGAAGGAGAAAAAAATGATGCCAGGGTCATTACCTCATGAAAGAGGGAGAGAGAGAGAGAAGCAGCAAGCATGCTGTAATGGAAGAAAGAGTTGAGGCAGAATTTGAGAGAGCAAGAGAAGAGAAACTGCTAAATATGGAGCACCTGTATATATGGAAGTTCCCAACAGGCCTCATCAGCCTGGAGAGCACAACTGAATAATATGTGATGGTGACATACAAAATAGGCGACCGACTTACTGGGTTAATACAGCACAATTGTTGCATTTACATAATATGCTATGCCAAAGATATGTATTATATTATAGTTTATTATGATGACCTAGTCTCTCAAAAGGCATTCTTTTTCTAGCTTTATTTTGTGCTTTATGCAAACTCTAGATCAAATTATTTAAGTTTTTCAAATCTGCTGCTGGAATGGAATCATAGCTCAGGAATGCATAACTTTACCTAAACACAAATCCAACTATGTATACTTCTCCTTTCAATAATCCCATTGCCTGGAAAAAAAACACAGGTTCAATTATTGAATGTTGCAAAGATATGAAAATTGATGCTTAACTATGCCCTACCCAGTACGCAATTACTGGGCTATATGGAACTACTATCCAGAGGATGCAGCTATTTGTGTATTTACAAATAAGGCAAACATTATAAAATACATTGTATGTCTCATTGTCACATCTACCTATTTAATAACACTACTGTCTCTCTGAGAAAAAAATGGCACACAATACTTCATTTTTAATGCAACTAATCATAGGTGGTATTCATCAGGTTCTGACCAGTTGTGGAGAACCGGTAGCGGAAATTTTGAGCAGTTCGGAGAACCGTAAATACCACCTCTGACTGGAGATTTTACAGTATCTTTCCCCTGCCATGCCCACCAAGCCATGCCCACAGAACCGGTAGTAAAAAAAATTGAATCCCACCACTGCAACTAATGTTTAAGGGCTTGTTCTGCTACATCGCTTAATCACCAAGACTCGTTTGCTCAGTTGATCACATTGATCTTTGTTATCATCTAATAGACTAATCCAGACTTCTCTGCATTCCCTGGATCAATTATCTCTCAAATAGAAATGATGGTGAAATTCTTGGTTCTTTATTAGTCAACCAAACTTAAAAGCAAAACTGAATTGCTTTGGGAAAAGTCCATCAAAATACTGCTACTGATAATTGGGAGAAATTCTCAGGATGCGTCATCCAAAGTGCAAGGGAGAAAACTTAGGATATGACAAAATTGGAAGTTGTTCAGGAGAAGGTGTCCTGGCTGGTGATCCATCCTTTGCGAAGATTAATAGATCCCCCAATGCAAAACTGATCCTTTGAAATCCTCTTTTCAACCTAGGAAGAAGAGGGGAAAAAAGAAATGATACTTTAGACTGCATACAGCGGGATTTGTAACCTTTTCAGCAACAGACATCCTCACAGGCTTTAGAAGAATGACCCAATTTTAGAGATTACAATCATTTTTAGTTAATTTTGTAAAATACAGAGGTCAACATGCATAACCTAATAGCATTACAAGCACCTCCTTACAAGCACTGGGCAGCCTATTCATATTCAGTATTGTACTACTTCCCTCATTATTACAAATATAGTAGAAATATATTAGTTAATTAATTAATTATTAAATGTATATACTGCCCAACTTGCTATCTGGGGCAACTCTAGGCTGCTTAGTTTAAAAAATAATACTGCTGGGATTAATACCAACTATTATTTGCTACCACAGTTCAAGTCTTATTTACTTCAATCCCCTTCCCAGGGTCTAGATACCTCAAAGTCCAAAACAGACATTTTCATAGTCTGGAACATCATCTTCACTTTCCCGATCACTAGTGCCAACTACTGGAATATGAGAAACAATGGAGTATGTTAAAGTGTGTACATGTCTACACATATATTTTTAATACTCTGGGGGGATAACTGGTTAATGAGAGACTAAACCAGAAGTCAATAACTCCTGGCCCAAGACCACAAGTGGCTTTCCAGGTCATTTGCTTCTGCCTGTCACAGTGATTTATCACTTTCTCCTGATTTAATGTTGCAAACAACAAAAGACCATTTCTGTAAAGCCTGGTGGTCATAGAGTTGTCTCTGGCATAGAAGACTCTGAGAAAACTCTAGTATTATGGACATAGAAGTACAGCCATTCCAAAAATCAATAGCAGCTGCAATGTAACTCAAAAGGGGATTTACAAATAAGGAAGAACTTTTATTTTCCTTTTCTAGTGCCCATAGGTGTTGTGAAACAGCTTGTAGGAGAAGCTCACAGGATACCGTACATTTCCCTGGATAAGAATAAGACACCCTCTCCAATCTGCCATTCAGTATGGCATGCGATTTTGGAGCTAAAAAGGCTGTTCTTTTTACTGATGGGCTAAAGGAAATGAATGCACTGCTGAGAATAAGGACTTCCCTTGCACATCCTTTCAGCTTCCCTCACTCACCAAAACAAGGATCTAGTACGATCGGTTCCGGCTCTAGTACGTTCACATATTCACCTTAGCAGGAGAAAGGAAAAAATAAAAAAGGATGACATTAAATCCCATATCAATGTCAGTAGAGGACAACAGCTTTCCCCGTGTAGGTCCCATGATTTGCTGAAAAAGCTGGAATAAATCTTGCAGGCAAAATAGCTACAGCTATTTTATAATATTTTGCTTTCTTTTCCCTTTTATCAGCTGCCCCTGCCTTACACCTAAGTGATTCATTAGAAAGGCTTGGGTGGAGAACCGAAATAAAACAGGAATCAATCAAGGAGACACACACAAAAACATTTCCAGCAATGACTGGGCTCACTCACACATTCAGACTGAATCAGGGTTTCTTTTGATTGTGGGTTATTGAATATACCACTACTAACTAGGTTCAGTCAACGTAATAATAAATTCACAGTTTAGAAATTATGATAATTATAATTCAAAAGACCTGGGAGGCAGGTGGTAGGGCAAAAATTAGGAACTGCTTTCCCTAGGAAATTCATTGTATCTTTATTTAATTTGATATTTTTGAGATTTCTATGAGATTCACCATAATAATATTTCAAAATGTACATTTTTGTATATAAATGAGTTATTGCAAGTATAACATGGATCTTATTTTAATGTTTTATGTTTAAAGTGAGAGAGCTGTTTCTATAGCTTTTTCTATGAGCTACAGTGGCGCAGTAGTTAGAGTGCAGTATTGTAGATTACTTCTGCTGACTGTCAGCAATTTGGCAGTTCAAATCTCACCAGGCTCAAGGATGACTCAGTTTTACATCCTTCCCACTTAGGGAGGGCTGTAAAGCAATGTGAAGTGGTATTGCTACTTAAGTGCTATTGCGATTGCAATTGTGATAGTGGTATCCTCCATATCAAATTCTGTTCTAAAGAAGCCAAACTGAAGTGACATTCGCATCATTTTGGCATCAGGCAAAGATTGATTTTTCCCAGGTTTTTAAATTCCTTTTTAAATTTTGTATTTTTTAAAACTCCGAATGAGCACCTTTTTGCTGCCTACCTTGTATGGTGTTTTCATTTTGCATTTTATTTATAAATGACTATAATTATTCTTTTTTTTTAAATTAATGTTTTAATGTGTTTTGTTATAAAATGCCTGAAAACTTCAGGTACTGTGAGGTTTTAAAATTTTTCGTAAATAAAATAAAAACAAAATACCCTTCCTATATATCTGAAAAAAGAGTCTTGCAGAACTATTTTTATAGCTATTAGACAGTTTATTTGTTTATTCATAGATGAGAACACCATTATAACTTGCTTTGTTCCATGTGTCAACCAGACCATTTTCTAAACTCAACTCCACCACTATATGTTTTTTTCCTTGCTAGTCCTGTCTCTCCTATCAGTCCACTTCTTCCACCTACCAAGTGAATGCCGTTGAGACTCAGGCACATTTTCATATTGGTCCATTATGGACTCTAGAGAAAAAAAAATAGGCGAAGGAAAGCATGTTTAAAAGGGATAAAGCAATACATACTACTCAGGATTTTTAACAATTAAATTAAGATAATGGATTAATATAGTAATTACCAAAAAAAACACCAAATTATCTTTTTTCAGAAAACCAAAGATTTAAAGACACCAAGTAGTGCAATCTGTGCCCAATCTCATGACATTTTTGGCAGCAATTGTAAAGCAATTGCCCAATGGGCATTTTTTTGTTGGAAATGGGAAGTAAGTGTTGGAAACCAGCAAAAAAACATCACAACAGCATATTGCAAATGACTGTAGAGATAAGCTGGGTGCCAAGCATCCAAAATGCAAGCATCCAAAATGCAATCACATGACTCTGGGGAGTGCGTGTGACTATTTTTAAAAAAACAGCATCATACAACTTGGAACAAATATGTGTGTATTTGGGTAGACTCTTTTCTTCTTCAACTTCCTTTTCTTGTAAGGATTCCCTTCCTTTTTTTTTCTCTCTTAGTTCTTTTTAAATCTTGCTGGATTTGGAGGTTCCTCTCCTTCCAATTCTAATGTCATGTGAATCGAGAAACCATGTGAGAGCAGTACGAGAAACCCAAAGGCAAAGAAAGGCAATTTAATCCAACAACACTAAAGAGGCTATGACAAGGAGGGACAAAAGAATCCTCCTAGTTGCCAACTTACCAGAAGAGGCATGATCTTTGTTCCTCTGTTCTGTGATTGGAACATCAGGCAACACCACTCTGTTGAAGGCAAGCAAGACCCAGTAAGAGCAGAATGAACAAATGAATCAATATTGCTAGTCCTCACTCACAACTACCTTCATTAACAGTTATAAATTGGGATTGTTCTCTATTTCTACTGCTCATTCTTTCCCTTTTTTTATTACCTCTCTTAAATTGCTAAGAGCAAAGTTTCAATCTTAAGATTAACAGAGTTGGAAGGGACCTTGTAGGTCATCTAGTCCAACTCCCTGCCCAAGCAGGAGACTCTCCACCATCAATGACAAATAGCAGTCCAGTCTCTTCTGGAAAGCCTCCAGGGATGAAGCTCCCACAACTTCTGAAGGTATTGGTTGATTGTTCTCACAGTTAGAAAATGTCTCATTTCCAGGTTGAATCTCTCCTTGTTCAGTTTTCATCCATTATTCTTGTCTGGCCTACAGGCACTTTAGAAAATAGATTGACCCCTTCCTCCCTGTGGCAGCCCCTCAAATATTCAAAGACTGCTATCATGGTCCTCTTCACTAGACTAGCCATGCCCAGTTCCTGTAACCGGTCTTTATAAGTTTTAGCCTCCAATCCCCTAATCATCTTGGTTGCTCTTCTCCGTACTTTGTCTAGACATCTAGAGTCTAAACATCTTAGTGTGGTGACCAAAACTGGATGCAGTATTCTAGGTGTGATCTTACTAAGGCTTTAAATAGTTGGTTGACCTGCCATGAATAAACTGGCAAGGAATGCTATCAATGAAAAAAAAAATCCAGGAAACAGAACTCCCAAAAATGGAACCAGGAAATTCTATAAATTTCTCATCCCACATATCTATGATCCACAATTTTTAATCCAACTTCTAGATTATATTCTTACATTTAAACAATTTAGTATCATTTTTAGCCTCTTGTTATAAAACATCTAAACTGTTCAGATACAAACAAAACAACTATATCTTAAAATTTCAGAATTACATGCGCACATATACAGACGCACACAAATATACACATAGGGAAGAATGAGGGGGAGGGGAATCCATACAGTAGGTTTCACACAAAGTACGTGTCATTTTTTCACCCAGATACCTAAAACATACAATGGTAGCATCTTCCAGGTCATGGACAGCATTTGAAAGAAGGAGAACCATCACAATACAACTACAATACTATATAGATAGGCCTCAACTTACAATCACAATTGACCCCGACATTTCTGTTATTAAGTGGGACAGTTTTTAAGTGAGTTCTGCCCCATTTTCCTTGCCACAGTTGTTAAGTGAATCTGGCTTCCCCATTGACTTTGCTTGTCAGAAGCTTACAAAAGCTGATCACATGTCCCCAAGACTCTGCAACCGTCATAAATGTGAGTCGGTTGAGAAGCATCTGAATTTTGATCTTGTGACCATGAGGATGCTACAATGGTCATAAGTGTGAAAAACCATCATGGCCACTGTTTTCAGTGCTATTGTCGGTTCAAACACTCACTAAATGAACTGTTGTGAAGTCGGGGACTATCTGTAATTGTAGTTACATTCCCTGGCTATTCTCTGCACAAACTGAGAATGACAGAAGACTACATTATTTGGAGCCTAAAAGTAGCACTATATTGACTGAAAGAAGCTTTTTCCCTGACTCCTACCCTTCCCAAAAACTTACATGTATCCAGGAACATAATTTTCATCATCATCAGTAGGGCAAAGTGGTTCTGGGAAGACAAAGTCCAAAAAGATTAGATGCTCTTCTTTAGATTTAAATGAGTTCCACCCTCATCTCACATCTTGAAAACACAACTCCACTGAATCTATAAAGAAGCTCCCAGAATACAGAGAAGTGCCATGTATACTGCGCACAAGTCCATATCAAAAACACTCAAGAAAAGTGAGGCAAGCTTCATGTTTCAAGCAAAGATTTTAGGAAGGGGAAGAGAAAAAGAATATCTATTATGCTACTACTTACCTTCATTTTCATAACTTGGAACACTTTCTGAAAAGAGACAATGTTTGTAAGGGAGATTAGGTTGTCAGAATGACCTACAGTGGATACTCAAAGGTATATTCTGACCTGTATCCTTGCTGTGTTTCACAATCCCCCCCCCCCCCCCCAAAAAAAAGCCTGTTTATTTCAACAGTTAGGATTTATAGTCATAGAGAAGCTACAACATTAGTAGTCTCTCATTTTCTTCTACACACATACACACAAGGAAACTCAATTATATGGTGTAAATGCACACATAAATATACAAGTTTTTACAACTTACCGTTATCCTCAATTTTGATGAATGCAGGTGTCAGACTACAAAAGCTATAAGAGCCTGTGCTGAAAACCGGAGGAGGAAGAAAGTGATTAATACATGTGAAAATATCTGAAGAACTGATCTACCACAGAATGGAGTGCCCTTTGTTTTCTTTAGCCATTTCTTTCATCTGCCAAAAATATCTTAGTAAATAAGAGAAAGATGCTGGGAGGTAATGGGAGGTAAAAAGAAAATGTGGCACTTTTTTTTGCTATTAACTGTGAAGAAAGTTATTCTTAAGACTGTTGTACTTCTGCTATAACACTTTTTTTAAAGAAGAAAACTCTTCCATAATGCAGGAGTTTGCTACTCAAATTCAAAGCAGAATCTTTGATGACAAGAAAAGGTATTGGGACATGTTCATCCTAGTTTCCCATTCCTTATCTAGTCTCAGTCACTTTTAACAAAAAGCTTATATGAATTTCCCATCCACTTCCCCAACGATTCCCACCTACAAACCCTCACACCAGTATACTTAATGATGCAAGGAAGCTGTCAACATTTCCTAATAGGACAATCCCTCATTATTCTGGCAAGGTAGCAGATGTAGCCCACAGTAGGGTCTAGGACAACTCACCACAGCCAACTCACCATGGCCAACTTGCCACGGCCATCTCGTTGCAGCCAACCCAGCATGGCTATCTTGCCATGGCCATCTTGCAGGACAACTCATCATGGGACAGTCCATGTAGGATAACTCAACACAATGTTATCCGTCACTGTTTCTTCTACATTATTTCCATTTTTGTCAATGTAAATAATGTCAAAGAAACAAGGGTAGATAACAGTTACCGTGTTGTTATCCCACGTGAAATCGTCCCACAGCGAGTTGTCCTACGGTGAATTGGCTGCAGCAAGTTGTCCTATGGAAAGTTGGCTGCAAAAAGATGGCTGTGGCGAGTTGGCCATGGCAAGATGGCGGTGATGAATTGGCCCATTCTGCCCACAGGAAGCCTTAAGCCTATATTACTATTTCCTCATGGAAAAGCAGCTAGGGAGAGGAATAAGAAATAGGAGACAAAGTGGCAATACATTTGCTATCTAAAGTAAATCAGATGGACAGTCTCCTTGCATTAAATAAAAGTGCACCATTAACAACTGAATTGAATTTCAACTCAGAAGCAGGACAGTTTTCTACAATTCAAGCAGCCAATTCAAGCTAGGTAGTTTAGGAAGGCATGAGGCAAGTGACTAAAGATACAAAGCTGTACCATTTTGCTGCTGCTGCCAGTCACCTCCCAGCATCCTTCATCTTAAGCAGATGTTTTAGAACACCCATAACACAAGAGAGAATAGTGGGTGCTCACCTCTGCAAATCTGGCTGGGATTGGATGGCAGACCAAGGTGGCGCTGCAAACAGAGACGGGGGGGGGGGGGACAAACTCAGATAAGATTAAACAGAACCCAGGTTCCTCTTTACTTTCTGTGATTCAGAGCAACAACCAGCATGAAGGAATGGTTGGCTAGCCAAGTTTAAACCATATTTTTTAAAAGCTACACGTGTAAAGGAGAGACCATTCATTCATTCAAATTTGCTGCAGCTGCCCAATTATTTTCTTCTGGGGAAGAGTAGGAGTTAAACTGAAACACAAGGGCACTTTCAAATTTTAAGAATATGCTTATTTACAAAATGTAACTAAGAACATATTTTTTCTTCAACATTATCAATTCACACTATTTCTTTCATCTTTCTGTCCTTAATAGATATTTTTCTAACAAGAGAGAAAAAACAATATTAACTGCATAACCAATAGAGAGCAATAGAAATATTTTTCTTCTTGGTTTAGGGCAGGGGTAGTCAACCTTTTTATACCTACCGCCCACTTTTGTATCTCTATTAGTAGTAAAATTTTCTAACCGCCCACCGGTTCCACAGTAATAATGATTTATAAAGAAGGGGACAAAACCCCTTTCGCCCACCATGAAAGCTAGAACACCCGCTAGTGGGCGGTAGGGACCAGGTTGACTACCACTGGTTTAGGGCAAGGAGATATTTCAGGACATCCCCCAATGAACTAGAGCACTAATGGTAAACTAACACAGTAGTTAACCATTTGCTACCTTCTCTTAAAGCTGAAAATGGCCCCATTTCATTCTGCATGACACAATTCAGCCAATGGTAGGGCTGGCCTCAAGATCCAAGCTTAAAGTTACATCTGGGACCCACCAAATATTGTTCACTGATATTACAAATCTTAGTTCATCTTAGATCTAAGCCAGTATTTTTTAAAGAAAAAAACATTTTCTGTGATAAGCACAAACAGGGGTGTGTATAAATATATATAACCCATGTGCTGAAAGGAAACACATGAACAGATGAACCACACAATGTAATATTAAATGTTGGCTTGAACTTCTGAGGAACAGATTGTCCAAATTAAAACCAGGTTCAAGCACCTTCAATACTTTCAAACACTACTCTATGTTAGTAAGTTTATAGTCTTCAGCATCAGCTGCCACTTTCGTTACATATGATAGGTGGCATCATACATTGAAAACTATTAATGGAAGACAGCATGGCTTAGAATGGTGAAGCTGAGAGTTCAAACTCTTAAAAGAATGAGAGTTTAGCAGCAAGGCTACTGAATCCTGAGATGGAGGATCCACTTCCCCAAATTTTAAACTATAAGTTTTAAAAAAATAAAGGCAATGAAGAGATAATGTTGAAACCCTGTTAAACAGGTCAGTTTTGAAATATGGTAAAACTGAGGTCTACTTACAGGGAGGACGCCTCAACACTCGGAAAGTCTGGGAATGAATATTAGTGGAAGGCCTGTGAGAATAATAAACCAATCAGAGTCTATTTTCTGGAGGGTAGAGAACATAAGTCTGAAAGATGCATTTATCTTTTTTCAACTATCTTACTCAGCAGTCATCATGAGAATCTTTTTCCAGCTGTTCTAGACTGTGTTGTGTAATTTGCTCATCACTCCATGACATCTATGCAAGCCTTTGCAAACATGACTCCTTTGGTTGAGTTGGCAATGCTGCTGCTTCTGCTTGTGAAAGCTTTAAAATAGAAGTGCTTCCCATGAATATCCAGAGAAGCCAAAGAATAAACCTGGCTTCTTCTACATGCAGAGCACCCACAATATTTCATTGAGCTATAGCTCTTCTCATTCAGTGCCACTCTTAATCTATATATCATGCTAAGCCAAATTGGTGTGGTTTTCCTTTCTTTTTGGTTTATCCAGTTATCAATTTGTATGGTTGCTGTTTCCTAGAATAACTGAGCAGTTAACATAAAAATAATCCACAAAAATAAAAAAAACCAGATACCCAATTCCCAATCATCGTACATTTTGTGAATCCAACCACTTCAATTTATAAACCTTGATTAATAGCTGGATGTTGCGTGAACCCAGCCACAACCCATGTGATATGTAGTCATGCCATGCTTCAGTTTGATATGTGAATCTAGGCTCTATTTGCCTAAGCCAGATAAATATTTACACAGGTAGTCTCATGCTGCTAAAATAAGCAAGTTGGAAATGTAAATTGCTTAAATTTATATTTTATTCTTCCTATTTAAAACTGCTGTCAATTTTCTTCTATGACTATCAAAAATTTCTTCTCCATTTAAGCTTGTGCTTTGAGAACTTGCAAATTCTGAGTACTTTTTTTTTAAAAAAATGTACAACAGAAAATCTGCATTGAATGTCCTTGAAAGAATGTTAAATTATAACTGCCTTGTTCTTTTTTTATCAGGGCAAAGCAACTCAAATCAATCCTTGAACAAAACATCGCTGCTGAAAGGAATATTGAAATAGAAATTAGAGCCATATTTTGCAGCTGCCTGTGATAAGAATTACAGGAAACCCATTGTAAGCCAAAATATAGCCTTAAGGTATTTCACATAATTCTGCATTCATTCCAAGTACTATGCAATGAGAAAAAACCAACTCACAGAGCAAATGAATTGATAACTGTGATACACTTAAATGAGTCAATCTATACATTCATAGCAGCAATTCATCCAAATTCTATACCAGACTGCTGTATCACTTTAAGGTACACCAAAATCATATTACAGAATGCTGCTAATATTTTTTTAAAAAAATAAAAATAAAAAGCAAGAACAATGGACAGAGAGACAAATACAATTCTCCCCTACTGAAGTATTTCTGTATAATAAATATATTTAATAAGACATTTACCCATCCATCTCCATAGAGATGCTACCAAATGATACAGCTCAAACATTTTGTAGTCTCATCTACAGTACTGTTATGTGAATGTATCAAATTATGACAGGGGTCACTCACAATTAAGCCATACTTGCTTAATATGAATTCCTGAATAAATATATAAATATATAAATAGTGGGTTTGCATAACACACTAAACAATAAACCATGGGTCACAATTATAATGACAGAAGTCCACACAAGATGCTAGTGAAATTAAACAAACCACAGTTTGGCTTTGCATCAGGGTTGGGATTCTACAGGTTCGGACTTATTCGCTGGAACCTGTTGTTAGCATTCTAAGCAGTTCAGAGAACAGGTTGTTACAAGAAATTACTGGCCTAATCCTGTAAGGAAGGCAGGAAGGAAACATTCTGGTGTTGCTTACAGAAACTGCTTCTCCGTTAACTCTTATTACATTCTTGGCAGGACTAGACTTCCTGTCTCTGGAACTTCTCTGGAGTTTTTTTTCTCCTTTGCTGGTACTTTGCTTGTGTGGAGTGACCATTCAAAGTTACAGTGGCACTGAAAAAAGTGACTTATGACCGTTTTTCACACTTACGACTATTGCAGCATCCCCACAGTCATGAGCAGCGAGGCGAGGAGATGCGTGCCTCGATGTGAATGATGCTGAGTTGGCTATGCCCAGCCAGTCACATGCCCACCAAGCCATGCCCACCAACTAAGCCACGCCCACAGAACCGGTTGTTAAAAAATTGAATCCCACCCCTGCTTTCTTTCTAAATCGACCTAAACTCTGATTTTCCATTCTTTATTTTGCCCCAGTATAAGATAGTCATGGACTCACTTGTATTGGTAGTCATCAATAGCAGGTGCTGTTCAGAAAAAAAAAACAGATACATCAATGAAATTAGGAAATCCCATATAATTTATCTTGAGATGAAAGGTGTTACAGAGGATTTAAGAACTGGAGGCTATTTCCCCAAATAATTTTTAGGAACAGGAAGGGCAAGACTTAACTGTCTAAATCAGAGTCACGGCAATCAGTACACAGTACCAACAGAACCACCAGAATTGGGATTGCAAGTGCCAACATCCAGAAGAAATCACCCGTGTGGAAGATATCCATGCCACCTGCAAACTGACAGTAGAGATTGTAGACTTGGGATGGCAGCAGAATCCAGAGTGAAATATAGCATTGAGCAGACTAGTGGAACGTATCAACAGCCCTGTGAAAAATAACCAAATTATGGGTAAGATAATAAAGCAAATATAAGCATTTTATATCCTTCTTTGGCATTCAGTCTGTGTAATATTCCTTATTCTGAATTTTAGTTTGGAGAGCATTTTGGAGTTTTTAATACTAAATAGAAACACAAAACAAAGGAGTAAAAAAGGAAGAGTCCTTAAGGATAGAAGATACAGCATAAGCTTTCTGAGGGAAACTGGTAGTCCTTCCTTCCTTCCTTCCTTCCTTCCTTCCTTCCTTCCTTCCTTCCTTCCTTCCTTCCTTCCTTCCTTCCTTCCTTCCTTCCTTCCTTCCTTCCTTCCCTCCCTCCCTCCCTCCCTCCCTTCCTTCCTTATTTACCTACCTACCTACCTACCTCACCTTTATTATTTTAATAACTCAAGGTGGCAAACACACAGAATACTACTTCTTCTATTTTCCCCAACAACAACCGTGTGAGGTAGTTGTGTTGAAAGAGAGGGATTACCCCCAAATCACCCAGTCAACTTTCATGCCCAAGTCAAAACTGGAACTCACGGTCTAGTTTCTAATTGGGTGCCTTAACAACTAGATCAAACTGGCTTGGTCAGGTGAATGGCAATTCTAAAATGATGGACATTTGTTAGAAAAACCAGAAGCCAAATTCACAAGTAGAAAGTCCACAAGCAGGCAGTAAGAGTGGAGGAGAGGAAATGTGCTTCAAAGGGTGACATGCCTTTCATGTTCTTGCTTTATGATTGACAGAGTAATAAAAAAAGGAAGATGGTAGTTGAATGACATGGACTGAATTCACATGATGTAACCAGATTAGAAAATCCCTAGTAATGGCATTTGTACAACACAGCATTTTGTTCAGTTTTAATTGGGGAGATGAGCTTAGCACATGGGATAAACTTGGCTTGTTTTGAGATCGAATTTGGGTTGGTCACCAGGACCAGAGATTTACTATTCTGAGCTTTGATTTATGCTGGAGCTCATCTTCAGGGAATGTTTCTCTATTGGAATACATGCTTTGAGCTGTTCTGGGAGTCATATTCCAAAGCATGTATTCCAGAGAGAAATTCCCTTAAGAATGGCTCTAGTATTGAGTCCAAAAGCTAAGAAGACAAAACCTCTGGTCTAGGTGACTGACTAAAATTCGAGTTTGCATCATTATCCTGGGACATGTATATTTGCCTTCATTCGTTAGCTTGTTTTGTTAATTTATGATTCAATGTATTGTTGTAATGCAGAAATCGTTAATTCATTAAATCCAGTGCAAATTAATTGCAAGATGGTTTTTTTAAAATGTCCATAATATGTTATTAACATGTTTGGGAAGATACAGGCTTCAGCAGATGAGATACTGATGCAAAATTAATGGGACAGTATGAAGAGAAAGGGAAGAGAAGGAAAAAGGACAATGCTTCTTTGAGGAATTCTTTTTTTTTTTTTTTTAAGATTATGTTAAGAACTTTAGAACTTATTCTGTTATTTTCACACTTCTCTCAAAATGTGGAAAACTCTCTGGCCAATTTTCAAGCAAAAGGTAAACTGGAATTTTTACATAAATGATAATTTGAATAAATCAAGTTTCTTCTTCACAGTTTAATAATTAAAATCCCATAATTGTTCTGTAATAATTAAGGCACAGAGTTGCAGATGAGTAAGATGCAAGCAAGATGGGTGGTGTTCTGGATTCAAAGACAAAAAGAGGCTTCAGAGCAGCATCCAGCAGCCACGTAACATCTGTCTGCCACTTCTTAAGCCAAATGTACCTTTTCCTAAGACTGAGTTGCAGTTACGGTAGAAAATCACACAATCTCAGAAAATGCAGCCGATTTGAGGAGATTTAGTGCTACATGAGTAACCTATGTGTTTCAAAGCTTTTTTTTTTTTTTTGCTTTTGAATCTGAAGCACTTCATAACCCTATTATATATCAGTCCCAGACTTCTGGGCATTCATAAGCAAATGCCAGTAGAAGCATCAATTGTGGGGTGAAAGGAATAATTTTCAAAGTGCTGGAATAAATTATTCTTTCCCCATGTTTCTTAGGCAAATGGTGCAGAATAGATACTTCCTTAATTTCCTTCAAAGGGCCAGGTCTTAGGGAAGTATTTCTAAGCACATGATTTTCTTCAGAGCAGCGCTAACATCTAAAACCATGCAGTGTTTGGGCCGACCATGACTTCTGAGGGGCATGCTAGGAGAAATGCACTTTATAATAATCAATTGAAGCAACGTTTTAATATGACTACAATTAAATGAAATTAAAAGCAGTGAGTCTGATTCATTCCTATATATTTAGTACAGGTAGTCCTTCACTTTCGACTAGTCATTTAGCATCCTTTCAAAGTTATGACAGACTCCGTCTCCTAAAATGGACTTATAACCTGATTTCAAAGTTCTGACATCAGTCTCCACATGGTCGCGTTACTGCATTTTTGTGTGTATGTGTCCTCAGCAACCAGCCCACATTTATGACTGTTTGCAGTGTCCTGTAGACACATGGCTACTGGCTACTTACTTCTGGTTTCTGGCTCATCAAACAATGAGTTTACTTAACAACCACGGCATATGCTTTATGATCGCCACAAGAAATGTAGTAAAAATGAATCCAGTCATGTAATCAGCTTTACAACCATCACAAATTGTCAGGCTCAATTAAGGTCATAAGTCAAGGACTACCTTTAATTTCTGCCATCTGCACATTTGACAGGCAAAATTTGGAGAGGGACCCGGGGCTGCATCCCAAAGACGCTGAAGGCTGTGTGAAGTTGTGAAGTGTCAGGCTGCACCAATCTGTAATAGGACTCACCATCACGCAAAGTGCAAATGGGTCTTTGAGCACATGCGACGTTACTCTGCAGCAATTCATCTTCGCAGGAGGAAGTCAACATTGGGAAGGAGTGGGAGTGGCTGCCTTTAAAAGGTAATACTTCACCATCACTGAAAGATCACAGAGCTTCCCACAACATCTACAGCAGATAGGGAGACCACATAACCAGGTGCAACTAAAGGGGAGGGTGAGTGAGGCAGTGGTTTTCCAACTGAAACATAGCCAACCACACAATACTGTAAAAAGTTATTTTTCTGCAACAGAATGTATCTTTAAAGGAATAGTTGGCAAAGATCAGGAGATGCTATTTTGAAAGTAGAGTATATTTAAAATGGAGGAGAGCCCCACGACGGAGTGATTGCAAAAACAAATGTTGAATGTGGTTTTCAATTTGAAATGACGGGTATTCAGATTTGCACTTTAGCTTATAATCACAATTACCAGTATGAAGTGTTGCCAGACTGAGGAATTCTCCTCCAGGGTAATTTTCTGAGAAATAATTATTTTCAATCCCAGATACATATATAGGCAGATCCAGTTATCCAGTCTAGATCATTAGATATAGTCATTTTGGTGTGTAGCGAAGTAGCTCTCGTCTTCAATACACCAAGGTGGGAAGCTACCTAAATAACCTCATGTATTCCACTGACATTTCATGGAAGGAAGCAAAGCATACAATAATCACTAAAAAAGAAAATATCCTCAAAATATGACTTTGTAGATGGGCTACTACAACTATGTCAAGGACTAGGGGTTTTCATGGAGTTGTTTGCCAGACAAGAATTTTTCTTCATTCTTCCTCCACAACTTTACAATTATACTTCAATTCCACCATTTACCCAGGAGTTGAAAAAGTGTGTGTGTGTGTGTGTGTGTGTGTGTGCATCCTCCCCTCTATTTTCTTTTGTAACCATCTCCCAATAGCACTGCCTTGAAAAAAAATAGTGACTTGTTATTTTATTATTAAACAGTTTCAAAAATTTGGAAAAGAGTGCATCGCTTGGCAGGAAACAGGCGTTTATTGATAAATTAAACCAGTCTGTTCTCTCTTTTTTGACGGAATGATCAGTATAATTGAACACAAGAATGTAGTGAACATAGAAATCTTGGCTTTAGCAAATTATTTGAGAACAAACTTCGATGGGCTTCTAACAGAGAAAATGACAAAATGTGATTGCATTAAGCTAATGCTAAATGGACAGAGAGGTGGATGGACAAATGTGCCAAATAACAATATATAAATAACTCTGTATGAAACCAAAGAGAAGCATTCAGTGGCTTACAGTAGGGCTCTGGCCTAGGGCTCTGCTCTTCAATGTTATTTATACCTAGACAGTATGAAATTGCAAATGTCACAAAGAGAGCAGGGATAGCTAAACAACGAGATGAAGAATTTCAAGGCAAATATAAAGTTTTACATAGGAAAGAAAGGAACTTCTGGAGATGATGGGTAGGAAAGAAAGGACTTCTGGAGATGATGGCTCCATGAAAAACCAGGCCAACAACTGCAGTGGAATGAAAAGTATACCCTTTGAAACCACTCCAAAGAAGGAGAGGATTTGCAATCATTATACAAACACCATAAGGCAACGAGTTTCAGCTCCGGAAGACAAGGGAGTCGCCATCTTGCTCAGTCTGTAGTCAGCACCTTTGAAAGGATACTGGGTTTGGATGTTTCCTCTGCTAATTCTTTTTGGAAATTGCTTGACAAATATATCCCAATGATAGAAAACACCATAAGGAATAACGTAGCTAGTCACAAGGCAGCTGACAGCGACAAGTTCTAGTTTATGCATTGAGTACTAAGCAAACAATGAGTATCGGGACAAATTTTTTGCATCAAAATGCATTGAATACCAAATTTGATGAGTTTCAAAAGAGTTGAGTACCAAGATAATAATACTGTATATGAATCAAAACTTTAATCACAAGCACTGAAATAAAACAGTGATTAAAACTTTGATTTTAGAAAGTTACAAATAAGGATTTGGTTAAATTTGAAATAAGATTTTGGATTTAATTATAAAGAATAATTCCAGTGAAAAAAATGCTTTTTTGTTTTAAATTATTTTAAAAAAGGTAAGACTTAAAATTGGACATTAGAGGAAACTAGATGGATCTAAAGAATATTATTAAAGAACACCACAAGGGAAACTTCACTTACAAACATGGAATGAAACAAAATATTTTAACACTGGACATATTTTTGAAGAATGGATCCAGAAGTTAATTTTAAGAATCTCTGTCTCTATAGATGGACTGTGTTTAAAAGATTTTATAGAAAAGCAAAAGTTTTACCTGACATGATTTAAAATGATTTGATCATGAATTTAAAAATGACAGGTTACAAGAATGGCATGGAAAAAGATATTACACTGGACGTACAAAAGAAATTGGCTGATATCTTAATAATTAAAATATACAAATGAGAAACCAAGAGAGTTGCCTGGATAATTTCCCTACACTGGATTTACAAAAAAGGTTTGTTAAAGCCTCAAAGAATTTTGTGAGAAGAGACCAAGAAAAAATGTAAAGAAATCAAGATATTTTTTTGGAAGGGGCTAAAAATCAAAATAGTTACAAATAGTTTTTTAACAGCTGTTATAGCTTAAAAAATCTAAAACCCCTTAATTAGATGATGTCTATGGTATTCCCTTCCATTACATTCTACAACTGGCCCATGGAGTTTTCAAGATGAAAAGCAAGTTGAATTAGGAGAGAGGTTCATATTTAATACCTTAGAACAATGTGGCTGGCTGGGGAATTCTGGGAATTAAAGTCCAGATACCTTAAACTTGCCAAGGTTGAAAAACAGTTCCTTAACCACGAACTCCATTGAATATCCGGGTTAGGCTGGCTCAAAGTTCTGGGAATTGGATCCCCAATACAACACTTGATGATGATAGGAGAGCTGATCTAGTGGCCGCTACAGCATTATGATGGGACAAGCACACAATATGTAGGATGGACATTCCAAGCTGACTTTGCACAACTTACTAAACCATAAAACACCTGTTTAATCATGCTTTTACTATGCTGAGAAAAGGCAATTCCAAGGTCTTTAACTTGCATTCTTTGAATTCATGCTAAAAGTCAGATGCGGATATGGTTGGTCAAAATTGTCTATCCAGGTAGTCCTAGACTCAAGACCACAACTGAGCCCAACATTTCTGTTGCTAAGTGAGATATTTGTTTAGTGAGTTTTGCCCCATTTTACAACCTTTCTTGCTACATTGTTAAGTGAGTCACTGCAGTTGATAAGTTAGTAACCTGGATGTTAAGTGAATCTGGCCTCCTCATTGACTTTGCTTCTCAGAAGGTCACAAAAAGTGATCACATGACCCCGGGACACTGCAACCGTCATAAATATCAATTGCCAAGCATCTGAATTTTGATCACATGCTCATGGAGATGCTGCAAAGGTTGTATCTGTAAAAATTGGTTATAAGTCACTTTTTTCAGTGTTGTTGTAAGTTTGAAGTCACTATATGAACTGTTGTAAATCGAGGGCTAGCTGTATTTGCTAAGGCCTACACCAGTACTGAGAAACAAGCTCCTAAACACTTAGTTCATCCATCTGGCTGCTCTCATTCTGTAGAATTTTTGGCATCATCAAGCGTCAAATATTTTCTACTGGAGGAACTAAGGATGGAATCTAAAATCTTCTGCGTGCAAACTACATACTCTCCTATTGAATTAGTATTCCCCGTAGCAACGAAACAGTGCAATATTTGGAGTCGAAATAAAAAATTCACCCTTTGCTAGTGCGGCTTGATTTCGAATGGGTCATTGCCCAGTAGCCGGCAGCAGCCCAGGGGTTGAGGATCCCTGCTTTAAATTAACCCAGGGCTGGTGGGAACAGAAATTCAGATAGTTCTTGACTTAGAACAGTTTGTTTAGTGACTGATCAAAGTTACAACTGCAATGAAAAAAGTGACGACCGTTTCTTACATGAGCACTGCAGCATTTCAAAATTCAGGCACTTGGCAACAGATTCATATTTATGACAGTTGCAGTATCCGGGGGTCATGGAATCCCTTTTGCGACCTTCTGAGAAGCAAAGTCAATGTGGAAGCCAGGCTCACTTAACAACCAGGTTACTAACTTAACAGCTGCAGTAATTCACTTAACAATGATGGCAAGAAAAGTCGTAAAATGGGGCAAAACTCACTAAACAAACATCTCACATAGCAACAGAAATGTTGGGCTAAATTGTGGTTGTAAGTCGAGGACTACACGTGCAGTTACATGTCAATACAGTTGGAAGGCAACAGGATGCAGAAGATGTAGAAAATCTGGGATATGACCTTGTGGGAAACAGACAAGAGCAAGCACAGAGGTAAAGGACCTTGAGATTTGCAAGATGCATGTCAGCCAGATACAGGCAAACCAGATTAAGAAACAGCCTCCAGAGATAGACTACAACTTATTATTGAATTATGCTATAATAACTGCATCTTGCAGATATTCTAAGCCTATTCCACATAGAGATTTTTTTAAAAAATGGGGAAAAGCCAAAGTTTTTTATTTGTTTAGAAAGGACCTCAATCCTCTCTATTCATTTCAACTTTAAAAAAGTATGGGAACAGCAGAGGACCCAGAGATGAGTCAACAGTGAACCAACACCGGATTTGGGTGCCTGCAAAATCAGTCTTGCAGAGTTCTGTGGTGTCGTGGGAGAGATTGCAGTTACAGCCTTGCAACTGCAAGATCAGATAGCCTTACTTGGGAGAAAAAAATTTAAAAGCAGCAGAGGCAATCTATTCAAAAAGGAGAGCTCAGTATTTGGAATGGAGAAAAGGGAGGGGGAGGGGGGACAGAAGACATCTGAAGTGGAGAGCACCGTTACTCTACCACACAATGCCGTACTTTAAAACACCTGTTCAGCCCTCAGGCTTTTAATGCACTTGACTGGAACTCTGGCATCAGGTAAAGAGAGCTATAATCTTAGGGGTCCATCACCAACATTGCAAAGAGAGCTTGTTAGTGGGAACTGGGAAGAAGCATAATATAGGAAGGATAACATGGAACACCCAGCCCTAGGCTAAAATTTGAAGGGGATCATTCATTTTAACAACTCCTTTAACTAACACAGCCTGTCACATACCAACTTTCAAACTTTGACCAGATTAAGAGAATTAAGGAAGCATATGAAGGGAGCAGATCAAGGTAGGAAAAGAATAGTATCAAGAGAGAAAGTAAGGAAACACACAGGGAAAAGACATACCTCCCAGCTCTAGTTCACTTCGTAAGCTTCAATTTGTGAAATTCCACTGCTTTCTCAAGAACCCAAGAAATTACAGCTTGGTATCATAGAAAATGTAATCGACACAATGGTGACAGCAGCGGTTCCACCCCCCTCCAACCCTTTCTTAATTCCCTCTTGTGTAAACTCACATCTAGGGTCTCTATTTCCACATCTGGATGAAGGCTTGTCTGCTGAAGCAGAGATGATGCACTGTTTGATCGTTCCGGCAGGAAGGAAGTACTACAGTCACTAGCAGGAAGTCAAAGGGCAGATGCACTAAACCATGACATAGGGTGGGGGGAGCAAGAGGAATCACAAATAATACCATATTCAGAAGTTTCAGGAATATACACAGCATGAAGGGGTGATTTCAAGACTTATTTCATCCCAGTCACCAATTTCCTAAGAAGTCCTAAATCGCTTACCTGATCATAATTCAGATTGCTGATACTTATCAGGGGTGGGGAAGTGTTACTGTACTTTCCAAAAACTCCCACTTGTAAGCTTAGATAACAATTTATATGTGATAAATTTGAAATGCACCCTCCTACTTTTTTCAGATTCCCCCCCCCCCAGCAGATAAGTATATTAGGGTACAGAGATACTTTTATAAAAGTAAATCTCTACCCTGCCCAATATAAAAATTTATTAAAAGGCAAAAGTCAATTTAAGGAAAATATTTAAAGTATTATATTAAAGTAAAAATATTCTCTTTTTGTGAATTAGAAAATTTTGAGGGCTTAAAACATCAAGAAATAATAAACCATTTATCTTCAAAAAATGGTGAAAATAAGGGAAGATTTTCAACAAAAACCTGAAATGCATTTTCTTCCTGCTTCAATCAGATTTTATATTGGATGAACAAAATAAAATGTTCAAACAAGGTTCTGGGCCTCCTTGTGTAGGATAGCAATGATAAAAGCAGTAGTGGACACAAAGTTATTAGAGAAATATTCAGATAGGAATCTATCTCATAAGGAATTCTGAGGCAAAATATTTAAGAGACAGATTATATATGAATACAAGAACCATTTTATTAAGGTATGGTTGTAAGAACAAAGGCTAAGTTTATATGATCATCGGCATTAAATCCTAAATAGATTTTCTGGACTGTATATTTTGGGCAATGGAAGAGGAGAAACTATTACAGATTCCAGAAAAAAGTCTTCTGATACACAGTAAAATCAAGACAAGACACCAGTCGAAGTAAACATGATAAAGCAGCTTCATGTTTTATTAATACATATATCCTACTTATGTATACAAAGTGGTTCATAGTAAGTCTATTCTTTGCATAAAATAACCCCAAAGCAGAGAAAGAAAATCATATCCTCTTATCATTGCTTATTTTTGAAATATAAAAGGCTTTCTCCACACTATCCAACTTTTTTTTTAAAAGAGTGTCATTCACTTATGAAGATGAGATAGACACAAGAGTTGTCTATTGCATCTTTTTAAATTCTTAGAAGGGCTGACTTTGTCTTCCTTTAATTTTGGTATTATGCTACATGCATAATGACTTTTTAGCATGCACCTCCCCTCAAATATCCAAAAATGGTTCAGTCCAGGAAAAGTGTTAAGCATTTCAGATTACTGTATATAAAAAGTCTGCAAACTGCAGTCTGTTTCATAAGACTTTATGTATCAGTGAGCTTGGTAAAAAGTTGTACTTACCAGGATTGAAACACTATGCTGTTTCTTACTTGCACCAAACAACACCAAACTGCAAATCCAGAAACATTCTTGCTAATCGTATCCTCCTATTTCTGCACCAATTTTGTTGTAGCAATCTACACGTTATTCTGTGCTTTTTCCCTTCTCTCCCACCCCACCTGAAATTCAAAACAGCAAGCCACAATGATCATGGTTCACGTAAAAGATTCACCAAGCACCTGTAAAACTAACATTGACATTCAAGTTCAAGATATCAAAGGAAGTCAAGACAGCATTCAAACTGAAAGGAAGTTTAAAAGTGATAAATGATTAACAAGTCAAACAATATACTAAAATCTGCATTAAGGAAAATATGATTTTGGACCTGAGGCCTGGTAGCATAGTGGTTAGAATTGCAGTTCAAACCTGACCGGCTCAAGGTTGACTCAGCCTTCTATCCTTCAGAGGTTGGTAAAATGAGGATCCAGATAATTGGGGACAATATGCTGATTCTATAAACCTCTCAGAGAGGGCTGTAAAGCACTATGAAGCGGTACATAAGTCTTAAGTTCTATATCGCAATCACGCTTTTACTACTCCAAAGATCTGTTTATAAACAAAACCAGTTAAAGCACATAATCATATAAGTTTTACATTTGCTATCAGATGAAATTTCATATGGTTTTGCCTTGGAGAATTTGCAAATTCTGTGCTGTTAAAAAAGAGTTACCTTATCTAATCTGATAACAAATTATTCCCACCTCTAATATCTGAGAAAAAGAAACCACTAATGTAAATTAATAACAGTTCCTCCAAAAATTTTCAAAAATGAATTAATTATTGTGGTGCAAGCCAAACCCACATTTTTCAGATGAATGAAGAAATAATTTGCATTTAACACAGACAACAGAAAAAAAAAAGGAATGAAATTTTTAGGTGAAAATACACAAGCTGCAGACTGTAACATTTCCCCATCAGCTTAAGGGAGACTTAAGCACACTAGTGGTCTTAATGTTATTGCTGTATCATAATGATCGGTCAGTATGGCTGAGGACTGAATTTAATTCAAAATATTTATAAGATATCAGGCCAGGAGAAATTAATTTCAATTACAACTCATTTTTCTACATTTGATTTTACATTGAAGCATACTGAAATTAATCCATAATTGACTGTAATGGTTCTAATCCATTTACATTACAAATTATTTAAAAAAACACCACCTATAGTTAAAGTACAACCACTGTCTTTCACTGATGTCTTTGCAGGAAGCCTTTTTATTTAAGCTTCTTCTCCTCAAAGTAAAGACAAAATGCAGCTAGCAACTACATTACACTTCAAAGTGACAAATGAAACAAACCCCTGCACTTAACGCCAGGAGCAGAAGCCAGATTGCCAGGAGAACTGCAAGTAATATATAACAATAAGCATTAAAAAGTAAGAGAGGGAGCAGCTGAAACTAATCAGGTTATGGATGATATTCCCCCACCCACCCCAAAAAAGACTTGGTTGTACAAAACAAGATATCAGTCATCCAAACCTTGCCCATCTTCATTCATTCCAATGTTCAGAAGCAACGATATGTTAGGAACAAAAATATTAAATAGGAGTCTGAGGCTACAACCATTTATGCAACGTTTTTCATGCAAGTTTTCATACTTCAGAAGTAGACAATGACATCTTAATAGAGATGCAAACCTTTTTAGCTTCTCAAGTAAAATATAACTGATACGTTATAGTGTGATTTTTTAAGAGCACCTCCTAACACCGACTTTGTCATGAATACTGGTTTTCTCCTTTTGGGGGGGGGGGGGGGGGGCAAGGGGCATCTAGATGGTCAGCTTCTATCAGAATATTTCATAGGTTTGTAAAAATGGAGATCCAAAAATTCTGTAAAAATATATGAAGGGAGACTGCAAATAAAAGCCTTTTGTATAAAAGCACAGATGTGATCTGGAAGATTTCATTTTTCTTAAAACCCAAGGCTATTGAAGACTGATTTTTTCAGTTACTTTGTAAACCTTTTGCACAAGTTGCTTTGAATTTCACAATGCAGGGAAAAAAAATAAATGAAATAAAAATAAAATCATCCAAATAAAAGTTGGAAATTAAGTAGATGGTTTTTTGCTATTTCACCCTCATTCATCTGAGAAACACCACACAACTCTGAATAGTGTTTGTGATTTATAAAAAAGTCCTATATACATAGCAAAAAATTTGTGATTTCATGTCCTGTTGTCCATAATCCTGCCTTGGTGCCTTTAAGAGAGTCTCTCTCTCTCTCTCTCTCTCTCTGTTTCCTCAACTGCCAAATACAAATCTGTTCAAGTTTCCAAAACTGAAGCAGAATCGCGGTGAAACTTCAGATAAGGACACTGGAGACAGGAACTTTTGTTGATCGCCCACGCTGAGGAACAACAATGCGGTCCTCCCCTTCCAAAGACTCGTGCAGCTGACCTGGAGTGAGGAAAGGAACATGTTAAGGTCTGCCTTCACAGGGGAGGGTCTTATCCAAAGAGAACAAGATTCTGAAAGGAGAATGCCTGAGCTCTCTTTCCTATGTTTCAGTGCTATTGTCTTTCCTTATTTCTTTCACAGCTACATGTTGCCATATACTGGTAATCCTCCATTTACAACCAATCAACTTTCAAGCCTTATAAAGGCACTGAAAAAAACGACTTATGACTGATGCTCAAACCCACAATCTTCTCAGCATCTCTTGTCACACGATCAAAATCTGGGCACTTGGCATTTACAAAAGTTGTAGAGTTCCAGGGGTGCCATATACTAAATAAAATGACCCCAGGATCATGTGATCACTATTTGTGACCTTCCCACCCAGCTTCTGATAAAAAGAAAAAGGTAAGATAAAAGGGGGGGGGGGGAGAGCCAGATTTGCTTAATGACGCTATGATTCAAATAACAACTGCAATGATTAATCATTACAAAAAAGGTGGTAAAATTGGCGATGATTCACTTAACCACCTTGCTTAGCAAAGAAAATTCTAGTTCTAGTTCTGATCATGTCAAAAACAATTGTACAACAATTCTGAATGCCCTGGCATTACTTTTGTTCTGGGGCTACTGCTTCAATGGTTACAAGTAGAAGCATTTGAGGTGAGTTATTTTCTTCTTTCATTCAGAATTTTTAAGAAAAAAAAAAAGAGGGGGGGAGAGAGAGAAAGGAAACACACAAAAAAGAGAAGGATAAAGTAGATAAAATAGGGAACTAAGAGTCAAGACAGTGCTGGAAAAAAGAGAGAAATTCATGCGATGCAATGCTTTATAGATTTTGAGGAAAACTTGGTCAGAAGCATCTATGAAACATCCGAGGTTAAGAATGCTTCCAGGTCATTCTATTCAATACCAGTGACTATCTCCTGAGGAACCCACATTGAAAATGTTCTCAAACACTCAACACTTCAGGATAGCAGATGCATTTTTGCACTTCTAGCACTTCTTCCTTTATGTGTAGTATACAATAAAACCAAAGGATGTACACTTTTTTATTAGCAACATGTGCTTTTGTGACATAGCACTGAATTCAAAAACAGCCTGAATACTTGAGGCATTCATTCTAACTGTGGAAAGGCAGAGGAAAAAAGTTTTACCTTGTACATATAGCTCTGTCCGTTTACGATCTGCCTGAATGAAACAAGCCGTAGCGAGGAAGAAACCACCACCAATAACACCCACAAAGCTGCAGACCATAAGTGCATATTCCAGGCTTCGGAACTGTGACAGCAATGAAACGGGGCGATCGCTCTGGATTTGGTCACTAATCTATGGAGGGGAGGGGGGGAAACAATAATCATGCAATCTATTAGGTAACTTCCCTATGGAAAGCCTTCAGAAATGAAGATGAATATTATTTATTGCTTCTCTTGCTATTTCATCCCACTTGAAATAAATAGCGAAACAGGCACACATCATGGTTTATTTTTCCTTTGTAATGGAAAATATGAAAATAAGAATTTCATTTTGTGAAATTCAGCTACTCCATATCTGAAATCTGAACAATAGCAGCCCACTGCATGCAGAACATAAAATAAATAAACATAATTTTGGAACAGCAGTTCAAATTTTCAATTACTCTCATATTTTGAGGAAAAGAAACATTGCTATATACCTTTAAACAAAAATAGGTATAGAATCTACACTGTCTCAAGAACAAAACCATAGTTTTGCAGTCACATATGAAAATGCCCTGCTTTAATCGTATCTATTAATTCCAATCCCAAAGCCCAGTATCTACAGTGACCTTGCAGTGCTATGGAGGTTACAGTGCACAAAGCTGTGTTGGAATGTTTCCTTTTAGTTTGAAAAGAAACTACAAGGAGAGCCTGGAATCCAGGTACCGTGTTTCTCACAAAATAAGGCTGGGCCTTATTTTTTTTTTTTGAGCCCCGAAAAAATGGCTAGACCGTCTTTTCGTGGGTGACTTAATTCCCCCCCCCACCTGGAGCGGCCCATACGCACGTACCTCTCCACGGGGCCGTTTCTATCAGCCAATAAAAGCAGCCTCGCGGCGAGGGGAGTGTGTGTGTGCGCTCGCCCCGAGGCCGCTTCTACTGGCCGATCGAAGTGGGTGGTGACTGCCCTTGGGGAGCTTCCATCGCCCGAAAGACACTGCCTAATGGCGAGGGGACACGGGCAGCCATGCCTCGCCCCGAAGCGGCTGGGGACTCTGCCTGCAGGGAGCTTCTATCGGCTGATGTTCTATCGGTAGATCGGGGTATTCTAGCCTAGGCTACCTGCAGGGCACTCCTAAAGGCAAGTTTTCTCCCCCCCCCGCCCTTCCCCCCCCATTTCTCTTCACCTCGTGTAGTTCTAACAAACGATGTGAGAAATGGCGGGGAATTAAATAGGCCTAAATTTTGGGGGTGGGGCTTAATTTCACCTCATGCCTAGAAATCATGCTGGGCCTTCCTATTGGTGGAGGCCGTATTGTTGGAGAAACACGGTAGCTCCAAGAGGTTTTGTGAACTGCTTTGATCTGCTAAGAACTGTTTTAATTGGGAGAAAGAATGGGGGGGGGGGGGGGGGGGAGAGAAGCGGCTTAGGAGGTGGAACAGATGACAGGAATATTAGTTCTACAACTTCAGCCTAAGCCTTATATCCAAATGCTTACCAAACCAATAAGATAAGGGCTCCCTGCATCACCCAGAAGATGGGACAACAGAATCTGAAAAGCTTCAGCTGTGGAACGGCGAGTTGGGATGACAACATACTGCAAAGAGAAAAAGGGGATATTTCATTTGACACACTTTGTCAAGAAATATCAATGACTGCAGGATAAAGCTGTAATTGTTTATATCTGTTTCCCCATTTTATTGTAGTAAGCTAGCCAAAGTAGCCCCATGGTGAGATAGGTAGCAAATAAATTTAATAAACAAAGAAAGGAGGGTCAGGGATTTCGATTCTACAGGCTTGGAGCCACTAGCCCTTCTACTTGTCAGAAGGGGGGAAAAACCAAGTAAGGTGGATAGGTAGGATTGTGCTTCTGCCAGTAATGTATAAGGCAATTAAACAAACACAGATAGTGATGAACCTATCTGCAACAAAATATCAGAGATTGATCACATGAACTATCAGAGGTCGTGTAGCGTAGAACAGTTACTAGTGATATAACTCTACTGCTGATTGTTTCTCTATTTCTACTTAAAAGGCATGCATTTGTGCTATTAATTTCCAAGCCTCAGACCCTGTTTGTTGAGCAAATGTACGTGTTTTCCCTTCCCCATTATCTCACCAGAAGCATGTCTGCCACTATGGCCCAGTTGAGGGAAAGGAGTATTTCACCAATAAAAATAAATACCTACAAGGAAGAACGGAGAAGAATCATTTCATTGTATCTTAACAAGATATATTATTTTCCATGAAATGCCATACATAGAAATACCCTTTCCTGTGCCCCCAACGATTACATTAAAATCAAGGAGAAACTTACATAAGTGGCAACAATGCTCTGCTGAGCAAAGATGACAGCCAGGAACAGGAAGGGGGCAGAGCCAAGCAGACCAATGGCACACACTAGCGGATCAGCACGGGGATTGATGCGATGCCAGCGTCTTGAAATCTCCACTCCAGCAGTAACGCCCAGGACACCAGTCACACAAGTGATAATACCAAAGATAAGGCTGCGATGATAATTATATATGGCCTGGTGAGGCTCATCAGAAATGGTTCAAAATGGTTAAATAATCAGCATTGCTGGAATCTTTTCAAAAGCCATACAAAGTATTTAGAAGAACTCAGAAATAAGTTGTCACGATGTTCTTCAAAAGAGACCAAAAACATAAACTAAACTAGAAATCAAGACACAAGACAGTTCCCATTGTTAACTCACCTATCAGTGTCTGCATGACATACCTTACCACTAGGGCAAGGTGGGAGATTTCCCGTGGCCAACCGTGAGCGGTACAGGAATGCAGGTGCCCACAATGCTAGGGAGCCTGTTACAAATGCCACGGCAGTGAATCCTAGTGATGACAACACGAAGCTACGGCTGGCCAATCAGGGGACAGAAAGAAACAAAGAAGTAATGTCAGCATGTACTGAATTCCCAGAACCAAATCAGAGAGAACCAAATGGTAACAGATCTGAGCTGTCAGAGATCTGTCATCTCAACAGAATATCTCTATGTGTTCATAAGTAAAGATTTACAACTGAGTCACAAATTGTCCAAAAATGACCATAGATGACACAACTTGTATTCATGTTAGAAGTCATCTACAGTAGTGGTCCCCAACCTTTTTTGTACCAGGGACCGGTTTCACGCAGAAA